ATCTAAGGGAGTAGGATATAGCTTGGGACAAGGGTATGATTAACTAGAAGACTTGGTTTTTAAATTTTTATTTTATTTTAATGTATTTACTTGTTTTGTAGAGACAAGGTCTTGCTAGATGGCCCAGGCCGAACTCCTACGCCTGGGATCTAGTCATACTTCTGCTTCAGCCTCCCAAGTACCTAGGACTTAGGCAAATCCAGTTGACTTAGTATTTTAATGAAGTGCAGACTTTCTGAATAAATCTGCAGATACAATGTATTGTCAATCAACACCCCAGTATTTTCCAAGTCAAATAGTTTTTTTTTTTTACAACCATTTATGAATGAATCCTTTCTTTCTTCATTGATTTCAAAGGTTCTTCAACATAATTTAGATTCTAATTAGAGGTGAGGCCTGTGGATAAGATCTGTTTATTGGATGTGTATTATTCCTTTGTTCTAATTGTTCTACTCTTGTGCTAATTGCACATTGTTTTAAAAACAATTTATTAGCCAATAGAGCTATTGCCCTCTTTATCACTTTCCTTTTTGAAGTTTCTTTTTCCTACTCCTACTTGTTTATACTCTTTGAATCATTGAATATACCCTCTTAGAATCATTTTATTAAATTTTAAAAGGATATGATAAATTGAAGTGGACTAAAACCCAATATATTAATTGAAAAGACTGGATGTCTTCAAGAACATCATGCACTCCTAATTCAAGTCTTCTCGAAAATTTATAAATAAATACCATGTACGTTTCTTCTTAAAATTATCTGAAGACCTTATTTTGGGTGTCTGCCTGTGTTGTGGCCTGATTCCCCCAGCTTTGATTCTTTCAATCCTAATGAAATGAAAATCTGAGAACACCAAACACAGAGACAGGTCACATAGTTTCACATGCATTTTATTTCCTCTTAAATGTAGCCCCCAGATGACATTCATGAGCTACAAGTAGGCAGGGGATGAGGCTCAGTGGTGGAGAGCTTGCCCAGCATGTGTGAGGACCTGGGTTCTACCCCCTAGCACTGCAACAAAACCAAATCAAACCAAACCAACCAACAAACAACAAAAATAGAAAGGAAGGGAGGGAGTGAGTGAAAGAAAAGCTATAAGCATGGTTCTCAGCTCTCTGCAAGTAAAAACATGAAAGTGTTCCAAAAAACCCATTTCTACATTAATTTTACCTGCTGCCAAGAATAGGATTTTCTAGCTAATTGGAAGACGTTCTCTGGTTGTATTGAAAGAATAACTTTCAGGATTTGAATTGATGTTGACACATTAATACTAACTAAAGCCCAGATTTAATTTGAATTTCCTTAATTCTTGTTAAAATCCTTTTTCTGTTTTACGATTTCTTCTAAGATACCATCCTACATTTTATTACTTTAGACTTCCTTTTGCTGCGACAGTTTTTCAAATGTCCTTGTTTTTGATACCTTGACCAATTGAGGAATGCTGGACACTTAAAAAAATTTTTTTTTAGATGGACACAATACCTTTATTTTATTTATTTATTTTTATGTGGTGCTGAGGATTGAACCCAGGGCCTCACATGTGCTAGGTGTGCACTCTACCACTGAGCCACAACCCCAGTCCTGAATACTGTTCATTTTGTAGGCTGTTTCTTAGTTGGGATTTGTCTGATATTTTTCTGTTGATTAGATTGGAATTATGAATTTTGGGGAAGAAGACCATACAAGCCAAGTATTATTTTCTATATATCCTACCAAGAATACTGTACTTGGTTGATTATTGTCCCCTTCCCTCAATTTATCTCTGTCTAGAAACTTAGAATGTGACTTTATTGGAAGTGGGTCTTTTCAGATGTAATCAAGTTAAGATGAGGTCATATGGATTAGGGTGGGCTCTTGATTCAATGACTAATGTCCTGCTGTGACAAGAAAACAGATGCAGAGACAAATACAGAAAAGACAGCACATCATGCCAGAGGCAGCAATTGGAATTATGCTGCTGCAAAATAAGGAATTGCAAGAGTTGCAGGCAAGCACCAGCCCCCCCAGAGAAGCAGGGAACAAACTCTCTCTCTCTCTCTCTCTCTCTGAGCCTCCAAGGAGCCCAGTCTGCCAACTCCTTGATCTCAGATTTCTGGTCTCCAGAAGTGTGTGAGAATAAAATTCTGTTGATTCAAGCACCGTCTGTGGTGATTTGTTGCAGCAGCCCTAGGAAACTAAGCCGGGGACATGGTATTGATATAATGCATAACTGTTGATATTAACTTTGATCATCTGGCTGAAGTTATGTCTGTCAGTTTTCTCTGTTGTGAAGTTGCTATTTACTTCCTTTCCGTACCATACTCTTTGGAAGCAAGTCACTGTGTACAGCCCACATTTAAGGATTGAGGGCCAGGAATTTTTGTTGTAAAAGAGATTCCCTTTAAAAATGTTTTTATATAAGTGTCATTGCCAACAAATAAAAGGCTTTGTTTTTATAACATTTGTTGAAGAACTTGTAAGTAGCTTTATTAAACACCTTTGTTAATGTTGTTGGTGTTATTATTATTATTTATTTATTTTGCCAGTGCTAGGGATTGATCCAAGAGTCTTGGCATGCTAAGCAAATGCCACGGAACTACATCCCCAATCTCCTTTATTAATTCTATTAGCCTTTTCCCCCTATTGGGTGTTTTTGGATTGTCTGGATTATAAGTTCAAGTAAGGCTTTTTGCTTCTTCTTTTGCTATATTTATACATTACATTTCTGTTTCATGACTTATTACATTGGTCAGGATTTCCCAGAGATGATTTGTGTTAGTCAGCTTTCATCGCTGTGATAAAATACTCAGAAAAACCAATTTACAAAAGGGAAAGACTTATTTTGGCTTATGATTTCATCTCATGAGTGGATGGCTTCATTGCTTTGGGCTTGGGGTGAGGTAGAACATCATGGTGGAAGGCTGAGCAAAGCTATTCACCCTATGCTGGCTAGGAAGGAGAAGGAGGGTAGGGAGAGAGGTCCAGGAACAAATTATTATCTCCAAGGGCATGCCCCCAAGGATGCATTCCTTTCAATTAGGTCTCACCTCCTACAGTTTGTGTTACCTCCCAATATGTCCATTCAGCTATGAATGCCTCAATGGATTAATCCATTGATGAGGTTAGATTCCTAACAATCCAATCACTTCCCACAAGTTCCTCCACTGCATGAGGGAGCAAGCCCTCAATACATGAGTCTTTGGGGGGGGGATATTCCAGATCCAAAATCTGATGCTATTGAACAATAGCAGTGATTGTTTTGTTCAAAGGCCAGCAGGCAACAGCAGAGGCTTGTTCAGCCATGGGCAAGATGAAGGCTCAGGATCTTCTCAGCAAGGAGGAAGAGGAGCTGTTGAAATAGCTGGATGACTTGAAGGCAGAATTGTCCCAGCTGCACATCCCCAAAGTGACAGGCAGCATTGAGTCCAAGCTCTCCAAGATGAGAGCAGTCCATAAACACATTGCTTATATTCTCTCCATCATTAACCAGATTCAGAAAGAAAACCTCAGGAAATTCTACAAGGGCAAGAAATTTAAACCCCAGGATCTACACCAAAAAGATGTGTGTCATGTGCCTCAGAGTCATGAAGCAGGAGGACCTGAAACTGAGAAGCAGCTGTGGAGGTACCTGGTCAAGGTCTGAGCACCACAGCAGTAATAAAATATAAAACCAGAAGAGCAAAAAAAAAAAAAAAATACAATAGCAGTGACCAAAGATCTAGTCTATATCCTAACATTTTTATCTATGAGGTCTCATAGCTTTTGGGAAACTTCTCTACTCCATGCAATTCTGGTGGGACGCTTAACTAGTTGTGAATAGCATCCAACCCTTTGGTACAGAGTTCAGTACATGTTTCAGTTGCTGTCAAACATTAGATCCTATTTTCCTGGCCAGAGCGATTATTCCAGAAGTGGGTAAGAAACCTAAGCAGGGTTGATTTAAGTTGTCTCCAAGTTTTGTATTTGTTACTTTGGAGCTAGAAGAAAAGCAGGAAGGGTCTTACTTTCTGGCCCACAGGGTGAGTAAGATAGGAATGTGGGCACTAGAAGCCACCATCACCTGCAGAGAAGGGAAAGGTTCAGGAAGAAAGAAACTAAAGACTGAATCACAGTTGGTGTGGAGAGCAAGGGAGAGGAAGAGAGGTGGCTAAAGGGAAAATACTACTGATCTTGTTTTTAAATCCCTGAATCCAAACTTTCTGGTTCCCTGAGCCAACATATTTCTCTTTTCCTAGTTTCACTGCTTAAGATGGATCACTTAGAACAGAAGGAATTTTGCCTGTTAACAGAAATCGTCCTGGACTTGGTAGCTAAGGTTTGTTAGGCAGCGACTGAGTGCCAGGCTGGGGTCACGTGGTACTGGATCAGGCCCTCCACCCACACGATCCCAATCATTTCTCAGAACTGGCAGGTACATATCATTTTGAGGAAACTGAGGTTCTGCGAGGCGAGTTGTCTACGTTTTCTAAGGCAGCAGCCTCTCCTACTCCTACCTCTGGCAGATGGATAAGCATCTAAGACCAGCGAACTCAAACTGGAAAATGTCAACTTGCAGCTTTATCCTGATAGTTTCTAAGTTCCTTAAGAGAACTACTGGTGGTAGAAGAGAAGTATGTAGAATCCAAATGGGAAATGACATGCGCTGAGAGCAAGCTGCACAGCAACCACCCAAAGCGCCCAACCCGGACAACTGGCTGTCCGCCAGCTCGGTCTTCCACTCTACAAACTTCAGACTCTGAAACCCCCAGGAGAGACGCCGGGCCACAGCGCGTCCCAATGTCCGAGCCTCGGAGGATCAGCCCTCCCATCCCCGGAGCGCTTTCCGTTAGTTTGAGAGCTTTTCAAACTCGGATCTCCAAAAAGTGCCGGAGTTCACAGCTTTCCTAGGACTGGGGGCCTACGACCCCGGTGTTAGGGTGCAAGGAGCCGGTCCAAGGTCGCGGCTGGCTGGCCGCGCACTCAGGCGCTGGGAGAGCTGGGGGCGGTGGTCAGGGGCGGGGACTGGAGTTGGGGCGGGCCCAGTGCGGTCCTGCAGCTAGTGTCGGCGCTCCCCGGCAGCACCGCGCAGGGCACATGGAGGCTCCCCTGGAACCCGCGCCCGGGCGGGTAGGCCCGGAGAACACCTCGGGTCGCCGCGGGCTGCGCCGCCTGCTGTTTTCCGACTTCCGAGAGGAGCTGCGGGCGCTCCTGATCCTGGCGGGCCCCGCGGTGAGTCAGGTGGCCCCAGTTGCAGGCTAGTCCAGGCAGGTTGGGGGCCCCGTGACCCGTGTTGACTCCTGGGACTTGGGAGAGGTGGGGACCGAGGGAACTTGCCGCAGGAGGGGGAACGGGTGGGCGCTACCTTCCCAGGGTGCGGAGATCCGGAAGGGCGCCTGTGCGCCTCGGCGGCTCCGAATGTGTCCTGATTGCCAACTGATCTGCACCCTTCCACTGGGCACAGCTGGCTCCTGGGCGAGCAGGAGGCACCGCAAGGCCGGCGGCTCCCGCCTCCTGCGTTAGTACCTCCTGTGAAGCGGGAATCTGTGCCCCTAAAGAAACTGTCCCCCACCCCACCCCACCCCACCACCACCACTGGGTGCCTTCAGTGAGTGCGAATTTTCAGAGAACTAAGCAAAAGTTACTAGAACTTCAAAGTACCCAAAACTTGGCTTCTTTGCAACTAGCGGCTAAGTCCGGTAGTTCCGGTATCCAGATAATTATCCTGAGGCATGGAAGAGGAAGGCGAATTGTCCCTGTTGCATTTAGGCTTCTGAAAGTGTTTGGAATTCGGAATCAACCTCTGCAAAGGCATCCTGCACCAGCTTCCCTTTCCCACAAGTAATTGTGTTAAAAAAAAAAAAGTTTTTAACGTGGTTCTGTTTGGAGTTGAAGTTCTTATCTGTGGGTTTTTTTGGTTTTTGTTTTGGTTTGTTCGTTTGTTTTGGTTTGCTTTTTGCTTAGGCCTCTTTCTGCCTTGTCTTTTAAAGGTAATGTGTGTGCGCGGGCGTGTGCGTTTTAAATCGTAAGAACCACAAAACATGTGATCCTGTTCATGTTCTGCCAGTTCCAGTTGTGGGGTAGGATAGCCACTTCAACTAGACCAGAAGCTGTCAGTGAATGTTTAAAGAGAATACATTTTTGGTTAAGGCATACACATTCTGCACCTGCTCTGGCTGAGATGGAAAGGTGTGGCCTCCAGCAATGGCACTTGCCGTGGTTTGTGGGATATAGTGACAGCATTGTGGAGTGCAGGCAGTAAGAATCATGAGGAGGATAAAGCTATGAAATGAAAATCCACCCAGTGTGTAGGAGGCTATGATGCTCCTGGTAGATAGGAAAGAACTCCTACTTTGGAATCTCTAGACCTGGCCTTTACTTCCCTGTGTTGAGGGAATTAATGGTCCAGGTTACCTGCCCCTGGAAGGCCAATATTAGAGAGCTGAGAGTTGATACAATGGATTCAGGCTTACTCAAGGGCTGGCATTCTTGAGAAAATAGAGAAGCTATCCCCTCAAAGATCCATCTAGGAGTTCTCAGGAGGCACAAAGGGCTTTTATGGGGAGGAGAAAGGAGAAGCAGGGCAGAAAAGCTAGGTGCTGAGCCGGGTCCTCTTCGTCTGTGTACTCTTTTTTCTTTTCTGGAACATTGCAGTAGATTTCCAATCCTGGGGTCAGTGAGCTGCTGCCGTTCTTTTCCTTTTGAATTTACATCCTCCCTGTTAGTTGATACATAGATCCAAACAGAAGGAGCACTATAAAGGTCATCAGATGTTCAGCGTTCTAGAATTCTAAAGAAATATTTAGAGGACATGGTGGTGCAGGCCTGTAATCTGAGAGCCTGAGGCAGGAGGATCGCAAGTTTGAGGCTAACCCGGGCAATTTAGCATGACTCTGTCTCAAAATAAAAAATACAGGGATACAGGGATGTAGCCTAGTGTTAGAGAGCCTTTGGCTTCAATCTCGGTACTGCAAGCGGGCAGTGGATGGGGATTTAGCAGTTAACATTGGTTAACATTGTAACCTCTAGGTGGGCTTTCTTTTCTCTAAAAGGATTATGGAGGGATGGAAGGGCGAAGGGAGGAGGAAATCAGGGCAATTTCAAAAGAGGATCCCTGTTACACCTGCTTCCATCTCTTCCAAAGTATGTTAGGATATGGATTTGTGAATTTGAGCATTTCTAGTTTCCACTTGTCCATCCATAAAGTGAGAATGAGCCCAGCTGGTTGGATTGGGCCACCCACCTGTGTAAAAAATAGGCACAAGATGGAAAAAAGAAAAGTGAACTTTTTGCAGTTTGATCAAATCAGGGGAGAAGCAGCTAGAGTCCTTCTCCCTTCAGGTCCCACCAAAGCCCTTAAAATTTATAGAAACCAAAGCCAGGTAGTATACATATGTAGAATTAGTTGGCCTCAACAGGGGGCAGAATGGGAAGAAAGGAAGGAAATACACATATGCAGATTTAGTTAGCCTTTGCTAGACAGGTCAGGGCAGGGGGCCGTCTCCATCCTCAGCTTCTTTGGCCACCCTGGTTAAGCCATGGGGTGGCAGACCCATGGCTTCCATTCTCGTCATGAGGAAGTTGAACTCCATTCCAGAGGGCATCCCCCAAATTCAGTCTGTTTCAATGTCTTGGGTGTAGGAGACCTCCTTGGATCTCCAGGGATGAGCATTAGACTGATCTGTCTGTGAGCATAGACACCTGTACATGTGCATGATTGTGTTTATTTTAATTACAAATACATACTCATTGCAGGGAAGGGACCCAAGACCAACAGAAGAAAAATACTCTAAGATCACACTGTCAGGAGATAATTTGGGATTTTCCCTTCCACTCTTTTATGTACATGCCCATGAATGCTTTGCAAAAATGAGATTGGAGACTTCTGGTACCAGTATATGGATCCCGTCTTGAAGTCTCTCCATCTCTATTCCCATCTGCTGTTTAGTTTCCTATTTTCTAAGGGGCAAGGGATAGGAGATCAAAACCTTTTCCCCCGGTGGTCAATGTCCAATACTGTCTTCTCCAAGACTCTACCATAAAATAGGTAGAATGGCCAGTGTGGCGCGCCTCTCTCTCTCTCTCTCTCTCTCTCTCTCTCTCTCTCTGTGTGTGTGTGTGTGTGTTTCCTCTTTCTTATTCACCATCTCCCTTCCAGACCTCTCATGTTTCCTGACACTTGGGAGCATTAGGATTCACCATGATACTCTCCTATTGATCTGAAGAGAGAATAATCCAGAAGGCCAAGGAGAGAGTGGGAGATGAACAGGTTCACCTCTCAAAAGACGCTCTTCATTTTATCCTGCTGAAAACTTTAGGAATGCAGGTATTTGCCCAGGGATGGAAAGTGGTAGTCTGCAAATACCTAGCCTCAGGTTGTTCAATTGTGCTCTCCTTTTGTGATTAGCATCTTCCAACCAAGATGAATTGTTAGAGTCCTCAAAAAATAACCCCAAAGATGGATTTCCCTGTGGGCATGGACTGTGATGTAAGAGAAGTAGGATGCCTAGGTCCAAGCTTCTGGGAAAGAGCTCTGGAAACTTCTAGGGCTTCAGGGCAGAAGATACAGGGATAGTTCGGGCAGAGGGGTGACATCAGATGAAACTGGAGTCAAGACAAAAAAACAAACAAACAAACAAATGCAGGCTGAAAATGTGAATTGTCATGGGGCTATAGGGAAATACTTGACAGGGAGTGATTAGTGACATATGTCAGATTCAGCGGGGAAGGTTGCAAGGGACAGGAGACAATCCAGGCCAAAGGAGAGGAAAACCAGGAAGGGGAAGATGGTTCCTCTTCCAGACAGGTCAAAGGATGAGTGAAAGGATGTGGGGAAGTATTGAGTGTTGGTGGGAGCTAAAAGACAGAACCCCAGAGGGGCCTAGGACCTTCCCTCTCTCCTTTCCAGTTCCCTTTCCAACCCATCCTCCTGAAGGCTTCTGGTTTTAGCATTCTGAATGTCTCTCAGAGAGATCTACTTCACATTCCCACTCTCTCAGTGGACCACTATAGCTCCAAGCAGAGTTTCTAGCTCATGTTGTCCAAAATATTCCACATGGAGCTCTGAAAATCCTTTCAAATGCATATCTGAGCTCTGAGCCCCAGCTCAAACCCCTGAACTTGATCCTGTAAGTCCCTCTGAGCTCTGATCTCTATTGAACCCTCCTGCCTTAGCTTGTTTCACTGTCTTCCATTGCCCTTCTCCTAGGAAGCCTCAGCACCCCCTCCCACTACCTATACTTGGTCCCTCTGCCTAGAAAATTCATCATTCAAATGTTAACTCATTGCCTCCAGGGACCTTTCCTGACTACTTGCTGTGTCCCTACAGCTCACCATGCAAATCCCACTTAGCTGAGTTCCTGAATCTGCAACATCTTTTCCTTTTCTACCATGGGTTCCGTTGGGTAGGAATGAAGCCATGGGTGTTTGGTTAATGCACACCCAGGCACTTTGAGTTCCAGAGACGCTGTCCTGAAAAGACATTCTGCGTTCCGTCAGGTGACTTTGGACTGAAGCTTCCTCATGTATAAGGAGGCTGTCTGGGGTGACTTCGCAGATTCTTTTCTGTGCTGACCTTTTGCTGCTAAGAGTGGACTTTCAGGCCCACTGGGAAGGGGTAAGACAAGTCCTTGTGGAGGACTTGTACAGTTCACTGAGCAGTTCACTGAGACTGAGCCCAGGGCCTGGAACAAGCTAAGTGTGAGGTCTGCAACTGAGCTACACACATTCAGCCCCTACTCTTCACAATTTCTATTGTCCATTTGGCTCCATCTGAGCCACTGCCAGTTCAGTTCACTGTTTTTCAGGCAGCATTGAGATATCTTAGGGCAACAAAACTTTGTCCAGGATGGGTGAATTCCCTGGCATAGCAACATGCTTTTTTTCCCCCAAGGGTCTAGAACATTCTCAAAGTGTTATCCTTGAGCACCTGTGTATAGGCTATATATGGAGGTAGGTGGAGGATATGTTAAAATGCAGATTCATCAGCCCCCCTTATCTCCTAAATCAGTTTGTCCAAATCAGCCTGAACACAAGCATTTTTAACACCTTGCTCCCTGGGTGACCTTTGTGTACATAAACCGCATTCTGTGACTAGGAGTCACCCAAAGGGCTTGAAACCAGAATCTGAGGAGTAGTTAGTAAATCTAAGTTCCAGAACTCTGTCCCTCCTGGGTCTGAGGATCAGGATGGGCTGGCTGGGTTTGGCTGCCTGGCCTGGGTAACGAGAACAGGGTTGTTACCATAACCCCAGCAAAATTGTAGCGGCCTTCACAAAGGAACAGTTTTAGCTGGCATTGACATTGAAGGTGTGTCTCACTGGATCAGCTGAACTGTGCTCAACTTTCTTTGACTTTTTTTTATAAGAGACATCTGAACTATTCCTACCCTTGGACTGGGCGCTCACCCTAAGAAAATGCCTCATCCCCACCCAGCTGAAAAGATGTTCGGAACAGTATGGTTTATAATAGCAAAATCTCGGCTGCACTCCAGAGGCCTGTTGATAGGCAAGAATGAGCCTTTTTCACATGAAGACATGAAAAATAGCTTATGGGTCACCTGTAAGGAGGCAGGGAACGGTGCGGTGGAAACATGAAGTTCTATGGGAAAGGAGAAAACAGAAAACGTTCCGTGAACATGACAGTTTGCTGCGGTTTCTGGGCACCCAACACCTCATGAACAGCCATCTGAAAAGATTGGGAAATGATGCTGGGTGACCTAAGACCTTTGAAGTTATCCGAATTCACAATTTAAATAGCCACCAACACCACTGAATGAAACCACAGAGAACATCTGTAAGGGAAATGACAACACCTAAATCATGTCACTATGTCCTGGCACGAGGCTATGGAAATCCATTGGCTCAAGCTTTAGATTCTACAGAATCAGATTATTCACGTCTTTTTCCTTTCTTTTTCTATTCTGTGGTGCTGGGGATTGAATTTAGGACTTGTGCTAGGTAAGCCCCCTATCCCGGAGCCACACCCTTGGTCCCCACCTCTTTTATTTACATCTCCACGCCTCCATTTCCATTTCTCTCCTGTCTTATTTTGTCTTTCTTGTGCAATACCAAAGTCTTCCTTCTGCTCAGTAGAAAGAGGCCCTGTTGGAAATTAAATTCACATTTGATTTCTGTGGTAGTGAGAGAGGGTCTGGGTTTGGGAGCTGATGCAAGAAAGATATGTTCCTAAGACTTGGGTGCACACCCCCCCCCCACACACACACACAGACACACAGTTAGAAGAAGCCAATTCATATTTTGAAGGTCTGGTCAATCACTGGAGTTGGACATGGTCTCTCTAGATGTTTCTAGGGATGAAAGGAAAGAGAGTAGTCACCTTGTTACAGCTCTGGACCTGATCAGGTACTAATACAGCAATTTTGGGATGGCTAAAGGGCTGGCACAGTTTGTGTGGAGACCAGAAATAAAAGCTGTGTCACTGGAAGCCCTTGAAAGGCTATAAGAGGTAGCATTGGAGCAGAACCAACAGTATCACCATCCCTGGCACCAGTTTTTGGAAGGGCTTCTGTGAGGCAGGCAAGCAAATCCTGAGATGCCTGTTCTCTTCTCCCAGGGAGGGGGTTCAAATGAACCTCCCTCTTGGAGAGACATAAGACATGAATAATCTGATACTGGACTGCTTGGGTATGAGCATGAACTGGTTTTAAATTAACCTCAAGATATAAGTGACCAAGCATTGTGCGATTCTTAGTAGTCACTGGAATTTTGAGGAAGAATAAGCTTAATAGTCCAGAAACTGAATTTGTTTTCATATCTGAGCCTTGTAGAATTACAGAATTTTAGGTAGCTGGGCACAGTGGCATGTGCCTATGATCCCAGAGACTCAGGAGGCTGAGGCAGGAGAATTGCATGTTCAAGGCCAGCCTCAGCAACTTAGAGGGGCTCTAAGCAACTTGGTGAGACCCCTGTCTCAAAATAAAAAAGAAAAACACAGGTAAAGTGCTTGTGGGTTCAATCCACAGTAGAGAGAGAGAGAGAGAGAGAGAGAGAGAGAGAGAGAGAGAGAGAGAGAGAGAGAAAGAGAGAGAGAGGCAGAGAGAGAGAGAGACAGAGACAGAGACAGAGATACTCGGGTGCAACCAGTAGCATTTCACCCAGGGATCCCAGATTATACTGGCCTTTCAGTGAATGATCTCACTCCTACCTTAGGCCCTGCTGATTGTGGAATGTCAATGCTGACTGCAGTGAGTTCTTGCCACTGAAAGCTATATTCTCTTCAGGAGAATTCTCATTTAGGAATCTGGAATAACAAGGAACAAAGAGGTTATCCAAGAAAGCAACCTCTGAAAACTTCTGAAGAAATTTAATGTGATCTATGCATGAGCAACTGAAGTGAAAAATAACACCAAAAAGGCTAGGATGTTCTTAAAAATGTGATTCTGGGGGAATGGAAAGAGGATGACCTGTTGGTACAGGGGTGCTGTTGGATAGGAGGTAATCTTCTCACGTTTTATAGCACAGTAGGGTAACTAGAGTTGACAACAATTAATTGCATATTTCAAAATGACTAGTGTAGAGAATTTTGAATGTTCCCAACACAAAGGAACGATAAGGGTTGAAGGTAATGGGTGCACCACTTACCCTGGTCTAATCATTACATGGCAATGTAATACTATATTAAATATCACACTGTACCCCATAAGTATGTATCCTTATTATGTGTCAATTAAAAACATTTTTTTTTCTGGTACTTGGAATTGAACCCAGGAACCTGCATGAGAATCATCTCAAGGGTTTGTCAAAACACAGGGTGCTGGGCCCTATCTAGGGGTGTGGGCAAATATTGCACCCCTGAGCTACATCCCCAGCCCTTTTTTTATTTCTTGTTTTGTGAAAGGATCTTGCTGAGTTACCCAAGTTGGCCTCATACTTCCAAGTCACTAGTATTACAGGCATGTACCAGCAAGTTCAGCTTCAATTAAAGTTTTTTAAAAATTAAAAAAAAAATTTTTTAATGGGTTTTTGACCCAGTGATGGCAGATAAACATTTGGCTGTTTCAAAAAGGCCCTCAGAAATCATCCATTGGACTATGGAAGCTGGCAGTGGTTCTTTAAAAGTTGGGTGCCTTTACCTCCCACTGGAGCTGGTTTGGGGAGGGCACGGAGCCACCTTGGACTGTGATGGCTGGCATTCATCTCTCCTCCTCTTCCCCTCTGTTCCCAGTTCTTGGCCCAGCTGATGATGTTCCTGATCAGTTTCATAAGCTCTGTGTTTTGCGGCCATCTGGGCAAGCTGGAACTGGATGCTGTCACACTTGCAATTGCAGTACGTACCAGACTTCCTAGCAGAGCTTTATGAAAACCCTCAGTGTTCCTTTTCTCCTGCTGCGATGACACAGGACCACTTTCGGAGCATCCTGTCAGTCCTGAAGCTGCAGATTTTAGAGTATGGCACAGTGTGGATTTCTGGATGATGGGGGCTCAACCAACAGTTTTTGAGCAAGGGACTGATCCAAAATGGCTAGTGCCCCATTCCGTTCCCATAAGAAGGGTTCGTGACTCCCTGAAGTTAGAGAGCAAAATATCTAAGACTTAAAATACAAAAACACTGGGTAACGACCTCTGACCTAGATTTTTCATCCCTCTCTGATCTCGTGTGTATGTCCTTTAATCTGGCCCAATAGATTGGAGCAGGAGTTCCGGGGAGTTAACCAGGTGATAAGATTGGCTTGTTCATGCTGAAGGAGGAGCTTGGCTGGCTTGGATCAGCAAGATAGAAAATTTACCTTTCTTTCCTCTTTAACAACATCTGGTCTTCTCCTTGGTTTATTTCCAGGTTATCAATGTCACCGGCATTTCAGTGGGACATGGCTTATCTTCTGCATGTGACACCCTCATCTCCCAGGTATGGAAGTGGTCACATTTTCTCAGTGTCCCCAACATCTTAAGTATATAGATGGCAGAACCCCATCAGCAAGAAGGAGAGTCCTGGGTGCCCACGGATGAGAAAATCCGCAACAGTAGACACCTGTGGCATTCTCAGTCAATTGACTCCAGTTCTCCTTGCCTGCTCTATTTGAAATGTGGCTGGGTTCCTTTCAGCACTGTGAACTAGTGTTCACTGTATGACTACCTGATTTGTTTTGACCAAACAGTGAATATTTTGCAAAAGTCCCTTCTATCATGTACACGTTTGAGCCTGTAGTTTTTCAAACTTGGGCCTGTATCAGAATCACCTCAAGGGTTTGTCAAAACACACGTTGCTGGGCCCTATCTAGAGTGTAGGTTAATATTCACATTCGCTTTGGGAAAGAGGGAGGAGGTGGAGGGAAACATTCCAACTCATCTATAGATATTTTAAATTGATTGTGCTATTATATCCCAATAAACCCATCAGGTTGGAAGCATTTGAAGTTGAAAATGCATTTAGCACGCTAACCTACCAAAGATCCTAGCTTAGCCACACAACACACTGTGTTCAGTTGTTTCCCCTCATGATTGTGGGGCTGACCGGGAGCTGTGGCTAGCGGCCACTGCCCAGCACCAAGAGAGAGAGGATCATACCTCATATCAGAAACCTGGGGAAGGATCCAAAATCAAAATTCAAAGCGTGGTTTCCACGGACTGAACCCAGATCCCCTTCGTATCATCTTAAAGTTGAAAAATTAGATTGATCCATTCCTAAATTGAGGAACCATGTGTATTTGTGTAAACATTCCCTCTGGCTAATCTGAAGCTGCCAAGGAGATGGCACTGAACGTGAAACTGGAAGAGACGCGCACAGCTTGGCTTCTGTAAGTCAGCAGGAACTGGCTCCTGACACCACTGGCCCTGACCCCAGGGTTTCCACTCTAGTAGGTCTGGAATGGAGCCTGAGAATTTGCATTTTTAACAAGTTTCCAGGTTATGCAACTCTGACTGCACGTTAGAATCACACGGAGAGCTTCTAAACATTATTATTACTTGGTATCCTACCTTGGATCAGTTAGATCTAGAGTGACTTTAGTGGGATACTGTCATCAGTTTAAAAATATCCCCCCCGGGATGGTTCTCATGGGCAGTGACATTCTAAAATTACCCATTTTTCTCACTATGGTCACCTTCTCCCTAAAGAATATGGCAGAGTCTCTGCTGGCATGTTTGTTTATGAGGTATGATGGGAGGCTTTGGGTGGGGACAGAGAAGATGTGCCATTTCTGTGCTAATGGCTTTGTTTTGGACGTGCACACCCCAGACATACGGGAGCCAGAACTTGAAGTATGTGGGGGTCATCCTACAGAGGGGCATGCTCATTCTGCTCCTCTGCTGCTTTCCCTGCTGGGCGCTTTTCCTCAACACTCAGCACATCTTGCTGCTCTTCAGGCAGGACCCGGATGTGTCCAGGTAAGATGAGATGTGTCGTGGTGGCCTGGGCATCCTCCCCTGCAGAAGGACCATCTATCCAGGCAGGCTCACCCTCTGGGAATTATAAAGGGCAGGGACGAGGCTGAATACCAAGATGAGCATCCAGCCCTCCTTGGCTGACCCCTCCCACCTTAGTTCCTTCCACACCTGGCTTCTAAGATCTGGACCCCCTTCTCTCCTGGCGACTTCCAGGGTAAAGAGTTTTGATGGGAATTCGCTTTACAAACATCCTCCGTGAGGCATGGTAGTCCATGATCTGTGACTTGTGCCTGAGGGTGGTATTAAAATCACCTGGGCACTTTAACCCTCCACCCAGGCATCTGGTCCCCAGCTCCAGGACTCTTAATTGGTCCAGGGTGAGGTCGGGGCCTCAGTCGCTTTCAAAGCTTCCCAGGTGGGGCTGGGGTTGTGCCTCAGCGGTAGAGCGCTTGCCTAGCATGTGGGAGGCCCTGAGTTTGATCTTCAGCACCACATTTAAAAAAAAAAATAAGTAAAATAAAGGTATGTGTCCAACTACAACTAAAAAAATAAATACTAAAAAAAAAAAAAAAGCTTCCTAGGTGATGCCAATGAGCTGCCACGTTTGAGACCCACAGGTTTAAAGGATTATGACGGCTCAGATCATGGTGGCTGAGAAGGAGGAGCCAGGTGGACCAGATATAATCCCCCAGGGCACCCCCTCGGGTTTATTTATTTCCTCCAGCCACACCACACCTCCTACAGTTGCTATCCAGTACAGGATTCCTTTCAAATCATAAACCCATCAAGTGGATGGATCTCCTGATTAAGTTACAACTCTCATCATCTGGTCATTTCACCTCGGAACAGCAACACAGGAGCTTTGGGAGAGCCAGCTCACATCCAAACCATAACACACCTATCCTACACTTAGGCTTGAAAGAAGCGAGAAAGGTCATTTGGGTCATAAGATGACAAGATCTGTGTATCAATTTCCCCATTCGCTGCAGTGGTTTGAGTCCATTCATTTGGGAAGAACCAAGGATGCAAAAAGCAGCTTGGATCATTCTGTTCTGCCTCTCCTGAAATACAGGCCTCTCTCATTGTTTCTTATTTTTCATGATATAGGCTTACACAGATCTATGTGATGATCTTCATTCCAGCTCTTCCTGTAAGTTTTCCAGGGCTCAAAAGCTCCATCCTTGAGGTCCAGGGGTGAACAGTAGCTGGGACGTCTGTGAACCCCATGTGTTGGCTCAGTCAGTCTTGTGAGTCTCCTGGGTGACGCAGGCTCCTTTGCAGAAGTGTGCTTTTAATCCCACCCATTAAGGACGCAGCCAATGTTAACTTCATCTCAAAGAAACACCAGGGTTGCGGGGG